GCGCGCATGTCGGAATCGCTAGAGCGCCCTTGCGCACGCGGTAGCGCAAGAACCCCTTGCAACAGAAAAGACAAAGTGCACGCGCGCACGTCGTGGCGCGCATGCCTGAATCTTTCAAGAACCCAACGTCTCGTGAGGATTTCGAAATCAAGCTTCCCGAAAACATGTGACACCATGCAATTTTGCAACATCCGCTGCCAAGACAAAAAAACATCAGCTCTCGGTCTTGCGAGTCCTTAAACATATTACGCGTTTGTTTTGTATTTTCTTTTACTTCTGCCAAACGGGCTTTGCGAATTCTTGAGGATACCCAGGTTTTTCGACGCTTTCATTAAATTTTGCCAAACGGGCCTCTCGCGCCGCATGTCGAAATCATTCGAATGCCCCTGCGCGCGTGTTGAGGGGGGGGAGCGCGATACGTGTCAAATCACACCATGCGGGCCACTCTCGCGCGTCGGCCGCGCACGCATGTCGAACTCTTTCCAAAGCCTTTATCACCCACGCGAGGACGCCGTCATCGTCGTCGGCGTGATCGGCACCGGCGCCGTCACTGGCCGTGCCGTCGTCGTTGTCACCATCGTCACCAGCATCGCTATTATCAGCATCGCGTCTACTATTGTTCAAATTGCCATGGTACCGCGCCCGCCCAAGTCGCAGACTCGCACTGAAATGCCCGTTGGGAAGTACCCAGCGGTCAACGCCACGGCGGCCGCGTGGGTCGCGCCAAATTAGCTGGCCGCTTTGCACGCGAGCATCCGCGCTAGCGCGGCCGCGGCGATGCACCAGCCAGTGCCGAGCAGTCATCGCAGTTGCCGCCGCATGGGTTCTGCAAACCAAGTTGCGGGTGGGTGGGTGGGATGATTGCGCGAGCAGTGGAGTCGGCAACTTCAACTTCGGCTGAGCGAAGTGCACAACAAAGATTGCACCACGTTTGTTGGCCCACATATGTTTCACAACTTAGATTGTATTTCATTGGTCGCACAACTCTCACAGCACTACATAGATTGCACAATATAGGTTGCACAGGGGATGTTGCACAAGATAGACTGCACTACGTTGACTGCTCCACATAGATGGCACAAACTCGATGGGTAGAACACATTGTGTTGGGTCCACGTTGGCTAACATCCCTTTTAACTAACTCCTCCCTGTCGCATCCCCACACGTGTCGGTAGGGAGGGCTGGGCGTTTAGAATAGTAATTGTTTACCAACGATAATCTTCAAGTTTCTAGAGTCCGCAGCAGCTTCAAGGATGGAGGGCTGCTGGTTTTTCAAACTGTGGCTCGCTTTAGCGAAGCGCGCGTCCGGCTAAACAGTTTGCATCAGCTTTAAGGATGGAGTGAGTCCTCTTCAAGAATTTGCTCTCGCCCCAACGCCGCGCACACTCGCCTTAAACAGTTGCAACCATTCAAGAATGGGTTTGGTCATTTGCGAAAAGCTGCGCTCGCTTAAGCGCCTCGCGCAATTGTCTTGAAAGGTTTGCAACAGCTTCGTAGATTGATGATGGCTCCGTTCAAAACGTGACTGTGGCTTCAGCGCCGTGCACATTCGTCATACAAGTTCACAGCAATTCCGGGATTCGTCTGGTTAACGTCCCAGGAATGTTGTCTGTCACGATGTAGGAATGTCAGGGCGCAGCAGTCACGTTGCTTCGCGGTGGTGAAATTCCAGGAAAGGCGTTGTGGCGCAATTCAGGGCTGCCAGGATGCAACCGTCATGTTGGTTCGCGGTGATGCAGCTGCAGGACCAGAGTTCTCGCACGATTGAAGATTCTCAGCCGGCTGTCCTCCCACAGGGCACGCTCCGCAATGAAACACAAATATTGTAGGGACCCGTGACGAGCTGATTTGGGGGGGGGGTATTTCAACATCGTTGACGCGTCTTGGGTTTGCATTGGTCCTCCTCCTCCCCCTCCCCCTCTATTCCTACTCCTCACCCTCGCCCTCACCTTCACACTCCTCCTCCCTCCTCCTTGTCCTCCACCCTCCCTTTGATTTCCCTCGTCCCGCCCCCCCTCCTAGAGGGGAGGGGGGGAGGGGCCGCCCGCTTGGTGGGCGGCCAGAGAGGCCTCGGGGGCGCGCGCGCCTGGGCTGAACGGCGAGGGGATGCCAGCCACACGCCGACGCCAGACCTGACCAGAGGCAACGGGGAGGGGGGGGGGAAAGAGCGGGGAGAGGCGAGCGGAGGGACGGAGAGGGAGGGGGGGGAACCGTGTCCTCCGGCGCTGCATTTTTTGCCCGCGGCGACGGCCCCGTGTCGAGGATCTCGACCACTTAACCCCGGGTCAGCTTTTTCATCCCGAGCCGTTTATTGACAGCCCCAGAGCCGGGAAACAGCTCCCAGAGGCCTCAAACAACTAGAGAAACGGCCGACGCTGTGTTTTTGCATCGCTTGGATCTGACGGGGCGGCCAAGAGGGGGCGGGGTAATGATTAGGAGGGGTGGGTCTCATGGCGGGGGCACTGGTTCTCCCCGGGTCTCATGGCCCCCTCGTTCTCGGCACGTCCCCTGGCCCCGTCTTCGCCCCACCGCCGCGGCCGCGCACACGCCTCTGGCCACGATTCGCGATACCCCCCCCTCTTCCGCGCCCCCCTCTTTGGACGCCCCCGAGGGGGCAAGGCAGGGGAGGGGAAGATGCCCGCGCGGCAGACACTCGGCACCGCCCGCCCCAGACATCCGACGTCTCGATTTTTCCGAGACGCGGGCCCCCGACCTCCCGACCACTTCCCTGGGACCGGCTTTTCATCCCGAGTCGTTTTTTGACGGTACCGAGGCCCAGCGAGGGCCCCGAGAGGCCAAAACCTATGAAAAACTTCTGTCTCGATTTTTTCGAGACGCCCGATGTCTGGGGCGGAATAGGAGGGCCGCGCCGGCCGGCCAGGGGCGGCCGCGGCGCCCCGACGCGGCGGGAGCCGCCAAGCCGCTCGGAAGGAGAGGGGCCTGGCCAGGTGTGGCGACGGCGTGCACCCGGCACATCCTCCGGGGGAGCACGGGGGGGGAGGCGCCGCGGCGCGCCCACAGCTGCGGTGCCGGAGCGGAGAAAACGCGGCCGTCGCCCGGCCGAGGAGCTGCTCAGCCCTCCTCCGCTCCCCCCTCGTCCACTCCCCGCCTTCCCCGTCCCGTCCCATGCCCTCCCTTCCCCTGCTTCACGTTCCTCTCCCCCCTCCCGTTCACTCATCCACCTTCTCCTCCACAGTTGCCCCACAATTGCAACGTATGAGTACTACTCCCCTCTCTTCTATGATTCCGTCTGGAAGATTGCGGGCTCTCTCCGCATGTTGTTGCAGTGGATTCAACCGCTGCTCGTCCTTATGCTCAGTTCGAATCCGATTGTTGCCGGTGTTTCAAAATGCTGTTCCCGCTGCAGCGTGGATCTCATTTTCGGATCGGCGCTGTGCTCCCGTCGTTGAAAAGGCGCTCTCGCCTCATCGCGGGCCCCCTTTTCTGGCTCGGAGTCATTGTCGTCGTTGTCGGCCCCCCTCATTCTCCCTTTTTCGCTTTCACCTGGTCCTCCTGCTCATCCCGCTCTATACACTCCAGCTCCTGCTGCTGCTGCTGCTGTTCCTCCTCCTCCTCCTCCTCCTTATTCCTCCTCCTCCTCCTTCGTCCTCCGCCTCCTCCTCCTTTCCCCGTGCTCATCCTCTACTTCCTCCACCAACAGACGCAGCTCCCCATGTCGGATTGCGTATAACACGATGGGCTCTGGTTTAGAGTTCCAGGTCCTCTATGACACGCGTCTGCGGGTAGAGAAAACACACCGCAATGGGAAGGGATGGGTGGAAGGGGTAGGATGTCAGATGTGGCGCCAATGCACCCAGCTTGATATGAATAGGTACCATTATCTTTTCTCCCCCGATGATGGCCGAGGGGGAGCTCGCCCCCCTCCGCGTATTGTTATTTACACACAGGATTCCCTTACTTGGTTTTTGTTCCTATGCGTTTCTTTGCAATCGGGTCGTGTTCGGTCCTTTGAAATGGTGTTGTCGCTGCAGCGTGGGCTTCGTTCTAGGGTCGGCACTCTCGTCCCATCGCGGGCCCCTGTTCTGTATCCGAGTCTTTCCTCATCGTTGTCGCCCCCCTCTTTTCCCTACTTCCGCCTCTCCCAGGTCCTCCTGCTCCTCCCGCTCCGTCCACTGCCAGCTCCTGCTGCTGCTGCTGTTCGTCCTCCTCCTCTTTTTCCCTCCTCTTCGTTTTCCTTCTGCTTATCCACCTGCTGATCCGCCTCCTCCTCCAAAGTACGCGGAACGCCAAATCGGCGAAGTAGCATTAGAACAACACGCTGGCTGATGATGACAAGGAAGAGGAAGACAAGGAGGATGGTAGGTGATGAGCAGTGCGGAGGAGAAGGAGCAGTGTGGAGAAGGAGGAGGAGGAGGAGAAGGAGGAGTAGGAGGAGGAGCAGGAGGAGGAGGAGGAGGAGAAGGAGGAGGAGAAGGAGGACGATAAAGGAGAAAGGAGCAGGAAGACG